GTAGGGAAACGTGATAGGCATCAGTGAAACAGCTGTGATGATTCACAGAAAACGGTCTTAGAGAACAAAGATGGAAAAAATGATGGCTAAAGAGCTACAGATTTACTATGTGACAAATATGAAAGGAGATTAAAAAAAGAAATCATTGCAAGGGAAGTTGGTTGGTCACAGCTTATTGTTTAGATTTATCCTAATTACGTCAATCCAGTTCTTATTCTATTCTATTCTATTTTAGTTCCTAAATGTTATGGTACCCAATACTAGGTAGGAGAGAAACGGTATTTCGATTTCTGTATGTCCTGCACATATGGTGAGTTGACAATAAAATCCTTGAACCTTGGTTATTCTGTTAAAGAACAAAACAGCAGGCTAAGAGACTAAGGAAGCAACAGGAAATTTAGAAAATCTATTTTTTGCACCTATACCTGAAAAACAGGGAGAAAGTATAATTATCATCAGTGGGCATGCAGCAGTTGATCATGCAATGTTGTGAAAAAGCACAGAGAAATATGACAAAGGTGAATTAGAGAGTTGTTTATTAATGAAAATAGTACTGACATGCAGCAAAACCAATGCTGAAGGGAAACGCTGGCACAAAATACTGTCATTATGAATCTAAAGCTTTACAATTATATGAGCACCTGTTTGAGTTACAAATCATTGTGAAGTATCATTGAAAAGGGAAGCGTATCATCTTTTAATTTTTGGCTAGCAATAGATCATTGTGATTGGCTCTTACCATCTCTCTGGGCAGGAACATGTCTTCCTGACGTAAAACCACAAGACACACACTCTCGCCCTGCCGTGTGCTGCGTAGCATACACACCAACTCCTCTTGGCCCACACCTGTGATATCCACACCATTTACCTACAACAGACAAACACAAACCAAATTAAACCTCCCTCATTATCGGCATAACTGTCATTCTTCCTGGTGTCCATTTCACTCAGTCTCATTAGTGCATTATGTTCCTCTAAATCCTCACATTTTTATAGTCTTGTAAAATGCACAATGCTGGATTAGAGTGATGAGTCAAGCAGATATCTGTGTTTTTTTTGTTTTTATGAAATGACACCAGTAACAAATTCAGCTATCCTGTACCTCTAGTATGCGGTCTCCAGACTGCAGGCGACCATCTTTGACAGCAGCTCCACGTGAAAGGATGTTTTTGACAAGAATAGGACCAGGACTGTGTACTGAAGAATCTCTGGTTACTACAGTAAATCCCAGCCCTTCTGGACCTAGACACACACACACACACACACACACACACTCACACAAACAAACATGACTAATGAGGTGAGGTATCGCACACAGCAAAAGTAACAGTCCTGGGCTTTTCAAAATACAAAAATATCCTGCATGACTGTTTAGTCTCTGTCTATACATTTGTCTTCCACAAACGTAAAGTGTAAAAAATCTCTTATCCATTCTCTCTCTCTCTCTCTCACACTCACACTCACACACACACACACACACACACACACTTAACACTACCCCTGAAAACTTCAACACAGTAGTGTTGACTCAGCACCTGACTGCATACTGTAAGTGACAACCTGCCTTGGAGACTGTGTGTGTCACTTTAAACCCTTTAGATATAACTGCTGCTATAGTATCTGCAGGTGTGAAGTGTTTAAAAATGGGTTCAGGTGTGGGGCAGAGAAGAGGAAGAGAAAATGAGACTGAGATGAGGAAAAGGTAATAGAGGAATGAGTGTAACAAAGTGGAATCAAAGAGTTCTGGAAAGAGAAATGATAGAGATTAAAACAGTAATCAATCAAAAACGTGCACACACACACAAATGTGTATGAAAAGGCTCATAAACATGCATGGGTGCACAAAAAAGACCACGCAGAGACAGGGAGACTGGTTGTGTGTTTTATAGAGCTCATTTAGTCTGGTCTCTTTAAGAGAGCCATGTCAGCAGTTTGGTCCACTATGAATTCATATCAGCAGAAATGAACAGATCAATAAAGACTTAATAGACCATGAAGAGAGGGAATCAGGAAGATGGAGAGAGGATGGGTGAGAAGAAGGGTAAGATGGAGGAGAGTCAGCCAGAGAACAGAAAAAAAAAAAGATTTATAGAAATGAGCACAATGCTGGGAGACAGCAGGAGAAATGCAGTGAGCCACACGACACACAACATTCAGAAACTGAAAAGAAACAAAAAGGGTTAATAATATGTCAGTGTGGGAAAGAAATGTAAAATGTATAAAACAGGTGTAAGTAGTAACTTTTTTTTATTTCTACCTGAACCTCTGAAGCTCAATTGAAAATGTTCAGAGTGAATTCAAAGGACACTGAGGAACTGTGTCAAAATATCAAATATATGTGAGCCTTCTGAAATATTTCCACTTGGCAGTAAAGTAGGTAACATTTACAGAACAATTCAGATCTAATATATCTGTAGAAATAAGACAGTCTGAGTGTGAATGACGCTCTGAGACAAGGCGCTCCTCACCTTTCTTTAAGTCGATCCTCAATCTTCGTCCTCCTCTCTTATTGGTCATCAAGCTGGAAAGAGCAGGACTCTTCTTAAGGAGCGGGCTCTCGCTCCTCCCCTTAAGGGTCTAGATGGAGAAGTGCAGCATCCAAGTAATTTTACAGCACTACAATACATACAAATGTTGCTCCAGAGCAGAATAACCATTTCAATGTGTCACTTGCGTATGTGAACTTGCCACATTCTGCTTAGATCATTTCAAAACTCTCAAGACTTAAATTGCAGTGTAGAAATGAGTTTATATTCAGAAGACATATAAAAATTGAAAGAGGTGGTATTATAGTCTATCAGAAGGAGTGTAAAGATTACCCAGTGTGAAATAAGCCACAGATTCAAATCAGATTCATTTTACAAAAATGGTCAAAAATCATTACAGATACCATAAACCAATCTTTGGCAGTATCTTGTTACGTCTGGCTGTGCCCTTCATATGTACAGTATGTGTTTGTGTGTGTCTGTGCCTGTGTGTGAGGCACCATCTCCTGCCAGATATTGGTGTTCCTAAACAATAAAGACTTCTTCAGAAGGTAAAAATGTGTCAGAGGCCACTGTGTTAAACACATCAGCTAACCTAAGGCCAGAGTGTGTAAGTAGTCAGGATTCTACATCCCAAACTATTAGAGGTGACCGCCTATGAGTCATTGTCACTTACTTATAACCATTGCTTATGGCATTTAAAGTGTTCAGTGTAGCCTGAATAATGCTCGTTGTATTGGTATGTGGACATTGCTAAGGATAATGTATGAAGATTAAATTCAGAATGTGACAAGTGAAGTCAATGTACTGTGTTAAACGTGGACACATTTGTTTGGAAGCACCAGAAAGACATAAGTGGTGTACAGCCCTTTCTAATGATTATGAAACTGTGTTCCAACATACTGTGTGCATTGCAGAATCACAGAAAAACTTTTTTTTTAAAGTAAAATTAGATGTAATCAGCTGTTGCTAAGTTACTGCTGCCACTGCGCCAGATGTTTTTCTAATGTCAGATATATCACCATGGTGATGTTGACAATACAGCTGTGTCTGCATAAGACAGACTTTATGGTTAGAGAAAAGAGACAGGAACCAAGTAAAAAAAAAAAAATTGGAATTCAAAATGTTTCTACAAATCAAACATATCCTGACAGAAATTAAAGTCATAAATCAAGCACAAAATATAAATACAATGCGTGCAGAGTGTTGAAGGACTGAGAGCAATTACCATGGGAAATATTTTGCCCAAAAATTTTAAATCTTGGCATTTCATATACTCAAATAAATGAAGCCGGCAGTTAGTCAGCTGTGACCAGATGCATATGATGAAGGAGGATAACTGATATTTAAGTTTATGTCTCACTTCTTAATGTCCAATCAGGAAATATTGTATTGTCTACACTGCCTTTTCAACATTCATTTCATATTCATATTTATCATTCCAACCCCTCACTTCTTGCAACTATATGTACGATTGAAAGAATCTTTCAGAGAGTGGATCCAGGGTAATCCGACTTACACCGACAGCAGCTTCCACAGGGGCACCGTCTTCTGCAAAACGTGTGACTGGATTCTCAAAGGGCTTGAACACAGGTTTGGCTTTGACAGGCGGAGGCGGCTCTTTGGTCTTAGCGCTTCGAGGGCTGTTGTCAGAACCCACATTGCTGCCAAACAGCTGACCAATCAGACTCTTCTCGAAGCGTTCTCTGCTGGAGGATGGCACTACTTCCAAACGGACAACTGGGGTATGCATTGCCTGACGAAACACTTCCTGGGCTCTGGGAGGGAGAGGAGGAGAGGGATGAAGAGAAAAAGAAAGGTGGGTGAATGATGCAGAGAATGATAGGAAGCAGTAAAAAAAAAAAAGTTTTGTTCAACAAGTTTTGAGTAAAGTATATATAGATTTAACATTAAAAGTAATTAGGCTATTAATTACAGTTATATACAGTGTGTAGTTATCAATCTCCAACAAAACGTCTTTATTAAGGAACAGAGATAAATGACAAATTAAAAGAGTCTGAGGTAACTTCTAATGAGTACAAATGGGGTGTTTGATTTTCAGACATTGTAACACACCTTAGCATATTTTATGCTCGTATATCTTTACTAAACTAAGTTTAAGTGACTGTCATTTAATGCACAGGTGAGAATAACTAACATTCTTCTTTATTGTCAGGTAATTTATTTCAATTAACCATCTACTCTCTTCACTGCCAGAACTAATGAAAACTGCTTAAATCACGAGTCATAAATAAGCCATAATCCCATGTGAAGTTCACAATGATGAAAAAATATTATTAAGACACAGGTACCCAGTTAGTAATTCCTCTAAGTCCTGTAAAGCTGCTGATAAGATTTAGCTGAGTTGTGTTTCTCAGTAGGCCGTGAGTCGTGTTACACTGGGGTTTGGTGCAGGCAGCTTGTGTGTGTTTGTCATTTAGGATTTGAGAACCTGTGTAGACGAAACTGCTGCACTGCATCCACTTATTGATAATATCTGATGTAATACGTACTGGAGGTTTGTAATGTTTTTGTTGTCTGACTAGATGATGTGTTTTGTTAGATTGGTGAAATAATGTGCATCTTGTGAAGTAAAGACGTTTAAGAGAAATCAGATGAAAAACTGAAACCAAATCAAATAAAGGTAGTTAAAGACATGAGTACTCCTGTCATGTACGAGTTTTCCATAACTAATACTGAATCATTTCGGCAAAAATATGTATTAATTTTGTTGTATAAAATAAAAGATATGGTATATTGAGATGTATGGTCATCTGTCACTTATTAACTGCAGTGTGTTTTATCTCAGAGGGATTACACTGTATATCACTGCTTTACTCTTTATACTTTACTCTATTTCTTTCTAGTGTTGCGATTGTCAGTAGTTACATCTGACATCTAACCACGTTTCCTTCTGGTTTCAACTTCTCAGTGAGCTCAACACAGAATGGGTGACACAACACAGAACCATGACACCTGTACAGCAGGCCATTATAATCTCATGATCTATAAGATCATTTTGCAGATAATTAGTTTATATCAAATTATGGTAAGTAAGTTAGAGGGACCATCGGGTCAGGAGTGACTGGTACACACCATTATTCACCTCAGACAGCCGACAGACAAAACCCACTTTGTTCAGATTTTATCAGATTACACTCCGAGTGTTTTCCATCTAGATTATTATTACATGTAAAATGATCTTGTTTCCATAAATAGTGACCATGTTTAGAAAATCATGTATGATGGTTATATTTTAACAGATTACATATGCTATAAAATTACTTTAAATTTTGACAAAAACAGAGGATGATTTAAAGACACAAATCTGATGATACTGTAAAATGGTACAGTAAGAAAGATTCCATCAAAATCAGTGACTTAAATAATCACCACAGGAAAACAACTGCTTGCAGCATACAACATGTACTGTACATTTATGAACAACTGATCTACTACTTATTATACACAGGTATAGTCATCGAGACCTTTTAGAATGACCAACTTGTCAACCTTTATACCTGCCAACCTCCACAGAGTACTGAGTGAACTACTGATGTTTTTCTGCATGTAAATACATGGCTAACTTGTGTGAATGGCACTGTAAGAAAGACTGGTTTCTAGGAGACTATGTATGTGTGGAGAAGTGGGTCATCTCTTCATTCTTCTCAAACAGGATTTGTATATTGAAGCCATTAAACACACTAGGCACACAGTTTTTGTGCCACACCTTGTTGAATGACAATGTAAGTGATCTTCTTTATATAATATCACAATACAGTAAAACCAAACTAGGTATAGGGGCCATTGTGTGCGAATGAGATCATTATTGTTCCTGATGAGACAACATGTGCTGGCACATTTCTATAAAACAGATATTCAAATCAAGCAGGTTTCCTTAATACAGCTGTCATGCTCAGATAATGGCAGTGTGTACAGTAAGTGTGTGTGTGTATGTATGGACATAGCACTCATGGGGATTAATGTACTCTACATGTATTGTATTGTAATGGCCCTATACCTTGTTTGGTTTTACTGTATTGTGATATTATATAAAGAAAATCACTTACATTGTCACTGGACCAAGCCACGTATCTCAATGCACTTGTTACAGCAGAACCATACTGTCAACAGTGTGCATGTGTGTGTTTCTTAACCTCTGAATAATAAGAAACAGCCTCGATATATCCAAGCAGCAATCTCTGAGGCCAAGAAATGAAGCCAATGCTGAAGTGTGAAAACCCGCAGTTGAAGCTGGCTCCAAAAAGGAGTCAAACTCCATAGACTCCCATGTTAAAATGCCAAACTTTACAGCAAAACTAAACATGCTCACAGCATGGTACAATGTGCTGTTGCAGTTACTGAACACATCTCAGAAGCTTTTGTGACCTCTAAGCATAACACAAGCAAACAGTGTTGCGCTCACTGGCTAAATGTCTTGTCCATGAGGTCAGTGTTGTTGATCTTGACAATGCACTCATCCTCTTGAAATAAGCCCTCCTTTCTTGAGCGACTCTCCTCCTCCACTCCACGAATGTACAGACCGAGAGACCTGACAGGAGACGCAACAAGGCAAGAAAGGGAGGTTACATAATGTATTGCATAGATTGTTTCATTTGTTTTTTTTGTTTTTTTTATCCTTGTACACATGTACACATACACAAGCACACACCGTCTTACAGTGACCTTCAGTGTGTCACAGAGGGCCGATGGAGTAACCCACCAAGGTCACCAAATGGTTTAATTAGACCTCTTATGTCTGATACATCCCATAACCGTCTGTCACCATTAACCGATAAAAACCAACTGCCATAGCAGCACTGTAGTCACGATTTGATTAATAGATAACAAGACAAAAAATAACAAAAACAGAGTAACATCAACCCCGCCTTTCGCCCGATGCCAGCTATTGGCTCTAGTCCCCCCACGACCCCCTTCGGGACTAAGCGGTATAGAAAATGAGAGAGAGAGAAAGAGAGTAACATCATAGACAAATACCAACATGCACACTTATAAACAAGATAAAAAGGCAGGCAAACATTCAGACTAAAAAGTAGGTTAGAGGTTAAACAGATTATGTTAAGACAATGGAAGGAGATAGAGGAGGCGTTCAGGAAAGAGAGAGGTGAGGACAGAAAAATAAGAAATAGAGGGAAAAGACAACAGAGACAGAGGAATTTGAGGAGGAGCTAGGGTCAGGTGAGTCATGGGAACAGCCATAAACACTCATCCTGATTTTCTTTAGGAAATCCCCCATCCACTGTCTGAAAATACCCAAATAAAAAAGTTAGTGGGAGAACACCATGGGGCATAGCTGTGCATTTTTTTCCCCTTTTCTGTGTGTGTTTTTACGAGGTTGCCAGGTTTTCAAGAAGTCAGTTTAAGTGCAAAACAGGATAATGAGAATATATAGTACAGTACTGTGAAGCAGTTAAGCATATGTGGGGAAAATGCTGTAAGGAGAGGAACCCTCCAAAAATAAACTCATGAATAGTTTTAATCATTTATCTTCACACAAAGTGCAGTAAATACAAAAAACCTAAATCAAATCAATATAAATGTATAGTATGACCAACAGTACCAGTTTCCACTGTCAAACCCTAATGAGCCCACCCGCACTCCTGAAACATAATTTTAGCACTACTTCCTGAGGAGAACTGCAATTTATCTCCCACAACACACCAATGTAGGTGGAGGTCAGTGGAAACAAACACAACCTGGGACGACAGTACACGGCTTGACACGTTTTGGTAGGTTCCTATAGCAGGTACACGACCACATTTTTTCCAGGTACTTATCAGGTAGATTGTTTCAAGCATCTTGGAGGATTTGCCACAGCTCTTCTGTGGATTTATTCTTTCTCAGTATCTTCTTCCTCTTCATATGATCACAGACTGACTCCATAATTTTGAGATCGGGGCTCTGTGGGGGCCATGCCATCTGTTGCAAAACTCGTTGTACTTCTTTTTGCTGAAGATAGTATTTTTCTGACTGTTGTTGTAAATATGGGGTCCAGGACAAATTATTTCAGGATGCATCAAGACACCTCCCTGATTGTACTGTGCAATGAATACATTTTTTTTGTACTTCTCAGCATTTTGGAGTTTATTATTTTTGACCAACTCCATTTGAAGTGAAGCCCAAAACCTGCAAGCCCCCACCTTTCATCACTGGTGCCTGCAGCTGATAAACAGACAAGGCTTTCTGAGGTTTATAGGTAAAGGACAGAATTAGAGCTTTTATATAATGGATGTATGCTTTTCTGTGTCTGTGCATTTTTGTATGTGTCATGTCCACAAGCACACAACTCACCGTCCACTGAGGGATGAGCAGTAGGGAACCACGTGGATTCCCAGGGGGCTGTCCTCTCCCAAGATCTCCACTGTCCTGGTCAGGCTACATACACAAAAATTAAATCAGTGGGAGAAAACCAAGATATGTAGTATTAGTATACTATAATAATACACAGGTACAAGATCTGTCACTCTAAACTTTGACTTGGCACAGACACTGGAAAATAGCACTGCTGCCAGTATTGGACTATGTTGGATAAAACAGGTCTACTGTATACCTCAAATGCTTAGGACTATTTTGTTTAATTATAAAAATGTCAAATCCCACAAAATGTTCAGCATTTCCAGGTCCTGAGGGGACTCGAAGCCGCCTAATCCCAGTCTATTTCCCCCTTTGCTTACAAACACACTGTGCATAATAGTCAACTAGCCAGAGACAAATACTATGTCTAGCTAACAAGCTAACAAGCTAACATTACCTGGACAAAACACAACAAGAACACGTTTGTGATAGCTGATCGGTTCTTTGTTGCACACGTATACACAAGACATAAAGCACGACGTAGAGAACTGAGAAAGTACAGACTGACGCACCATTATACGTAGCTTAATTCACTGTGCTAAAGATACTTTTTGTCAAGAACTTAAACCACATTTGTGAACCCAGGCCTTAGAGAAGGGAATTCTAACACTATTCAAAGTCAACAAAGCTACAAAAACTGCTTTGTGTGTTTGTCTGTGCCATTCATCTCTATGGATTTCTTCCTCCTTTTCAATCTCTCAATGCCTCTGTCTAGTTTGGATTATTTAAGTGTGTGTGGGCTTTTCATTCTGTCTGCCTTCTAATGTGTGTCTTTGTTTGTTTGATTAGTCTATCTATCAGAGCACAGCCATTAATCCTTTCCTGACCTTCTCTCTGGTCCCAATGTGTGTTTTTTTTCTGAGTGAGTCTGTCAGTAATCAGTTTTGTGCTCTTTAGTTCTAAACCCATCTCTACTGTTGTCTCTAAGTCTACTAATTTTGACTGCCTCACTGTCTGTAGAGCATCCATCCATTCCTAAACCTCCATGAACTGACAGCAGTACAGATGCTGATGAACTCCACAGAGAGGGATGTTGATGGTGGTGGGTGGCAACAGGGGAGATATGTAAAGTGCAAAAAAAGTTCTCCTCCTTTCTTCGTCTCTCTCTCTCTCTCTCTCTCACACACACACACACACACACAAAACTGATGCTGCCCCATCACCGCTCAGCAAATGGAAAACATGGGACTTCAAGACCGAGAGAAAGAGAGGAAGGCAAGGACAGAGGGGAGAATGGATGATGTTGAGTGAAAAGTAGGATGTATTTGGGGTGGAAGGGAGGGAGGAAGAAGAGAAAGGGGGAGGTATTGAGAGGAAAGGAGAACAGAAGAAGGCAGTGTAGACGTCAAGAGATGGAGTTAAAAAAGAAACAACACTAGGATTTTGTCCCAGTTCCCTACAACATACTAATTCTGAGCAGGTTTTAAATATGTTGTGTGTTTATGAAACAGGGAGGAAAAAACAGAAAGAGGGTTGGAAGTGAGAGAGGTCTGGAAGCAAGATATAGTAAAATAAAAGGAAGAAGAGGCATTGAATTAATTAGACAGGGCTAATGAATAGCATTAATATGAGAGGGAAATAGCATGCACCCCTCTCTCTATTTCTTCCTGCTGCGCCTCTGATCTCTAACACTCCCACTAGAACACACACACACACACACACACACACACAAGCACTTGAGATCCATTTGTTTCCTTATTTATTTATTTATTTGGTGTTTGACAGTCTGCATCAATGCAAAAAATGAATGAAATGGGGCTGAGAGAAAAACAAAATGGGTGAACTGAGAGGAAAGAGGGAGACTGTTAAGAGAGAACAAGAGACAGAAAGAAAGGGATAAACAGAAAAGCAGGGGGAGACAGGGAAGCAGAGAGAAACAGAGGGAGATGAAGAGAGCAGGTGTTCTCTTTATCCACCTGCCACTTCACTGATCCTCACTATGAAAGACAGAAACAGAGAAGTAACAAAAAAGGAGGATGTGCATTACCAAACCACTCACTTCCTCTCACTGCTTCTCACCCCTCTTCTTATTTAATATTTCCCTTCCTCTCTTTATTTTTCACTCTGAACTGATCTTCAAAGTGGAAAGCACCAGAGATGAATCCAGAATAAAGACAAGGCAAAATAGTAAACAGGCACAATACTGCAAAAGGTTAATATATGCAAGCACTGAAATAAACATAACGACAAAAGAAACTATTATACAGTATAGAGTAGTTCTCTCATGATTACATTATACCATGTACAAAGAAACTCACCTATTTACAGAGTTTTGGCAAACAAATAATGTTTTCTTGACTACTAAATAGATGTGTATCAATTTTCCATGCTACAATTATTGTGAACAAATATTACAACAAACTGTAATATCACAAAATTCAAACCATCTTGAAAGTGTACTATTACTGCTAAAATACTGTAAAATTACTTCATCAAAAACTATCTAAGATAGTTAATTGGATATTACTTTTAATGCTCTTTCTGCTAGGATCTGTGCAACCGTTCATTTATTCATGTGTGTCATAATTATTGGGATGCTAACAGGTGAGAAAGAACCAAAAACCTCCAACCCAACATTTAAGTCACAGACCTTCAAAATGCAAAATTCATGACTTTAATATATGTATTTTTTTTGTTTGTTGAAATAGTTGGTGGTATTATCACCCTACTGTATGTTTAACCTTGGAACATACTGTAGTAAAACCAGTATACTGGCATATCTCTACTAGTGAATATATTAAAATAATATTACTAATACTACTTATTCCTTAGTAGAAAGAGTTAACAAGGATGAAAAGTCTTGTGCACAGGTGTATTCAGTGAGACAGTGTTTCATTAATCATCACTGATGTAAGTGTGACCATCACAATACTGGTTTCAGCTGATGTCGCCCAGCCCTCAGAAGATCAACATGTGAAAGACAGAAAGAGCCGAGTTGAGAGAGGTATGCCGAGACAGACAGAGAGATCATGTATCACCTACACCGGGGGTCTTCACTTTTGATGAACGAGAGTGTTAGGTCTCAAAATAACATGTGAATAAACTCAATTAACCGTGGAAAAGCCCTTTTACATTCAGCTTGCCTTCTGCATCCAGTGACAGCTATTTACCTTTTCACCTCCTAGCATCTAAAATACCTCCAACACAGTGCATTATTTCATAAAGAAATATAATGTGCTGGCAGTGCTATTTCAATAAACCAATTTACAGTAAATCTGTTTCCCTGTATAAAAAGGACATTTTGATTCAGAGGTAATGAGTTTTGTGGTGAGCGTGCTGTGTGGTTAAAATTATGACGAGCCATTACTGTATTTATAGGTGTATCTTCTCATTCGAAGGTACTTTCATATACAGGAAGAAACATACATAGCAACAGAGACTCATATATAGGGTCATACACAAATATTCATTTAACATGTGCTTTACTGTTCCAATATTTATTGCTGCATTCCTCTGCTCATTCTGGACTTTTCAGCAATTTCAAGGATCATTTCCCTAGCGACCACAAAAACTATTACATGACTTTTACATTACGCACAGCTGAGATGGTTTGTGTGTGAGATGGTATATTTCAGGATATGTGCAGAAAAAAGTGAGAGGTTAAATTCACAGCACTGGACTGTAAAGCACCATACTATAAGGGGCATAAAAAAAACAAATACTCTTCCCTGATTCACTTTCATTTCAGTGTTCCCATTAAGTAATTTTATTTAAAATGTGCTTCTCATCGTTCATTTAGGTGACAGCATCACTGCAACTCAATGTCATAAGGTGATTGTTTCATAACTCTATACAAAGCTGGGAAATTTCAGGTACTGACCAGACTTTGCATAAAGAGTACCTCTGTACAGTACCCAATGAATACCAGTGTATATGAGCACATGCATGAGTGATCTCACCTCTGTCTGTATTCTGTGGTCGCAGATGGTTGCTGTGGAAAGGTTAAAACAGCCCTGGCTGAGGTCAACATGACTCTCTGAATGGTTCTCTCTCGCCCTACGTGTCCTATGAGCATCTTAACTACAGATTATTTAGTTTTAGCATTTATGAATTAACTGGTGATTAACTGCACCACCACTCTGACCTGATCATTTCTCAAACACTGACGAACACACTATCCATTAACAGAGGTCAGCATTGTCAGACACAACAGTAAGCTGATCAGTGACGTAACAGCCACTTTCTCAAACTTGCAGCCGACACATTCACTGCCTTGGTTTCACATTAGTCACACTGCTGCAGACAATGGCCTTGCCCTGGTCATGTGGGCATTTAGTATGCTCATTACAAGACAACTTAGTTATATCACATAAATGAGAACAATGAAAATTACATTTAGTCATTTTCATTTGTGACAAGGCCACAAATGGCACCCTGACTGACATGTAATAAAAAAATTATTAAAGTCAAATGGCACCCTGACTGATGGTGCCAGTGTGTGTGTGTGTGTGTGTGTGTGTGTGTGTGTGTGTGCCTCCTTTTATAACGTCTAATGTGTGGCTCATACATGTTGGGACATGCACCTTTTTGGAAAAAAAATTATTCTTTAGATTAATCAACTGATCAGTAAAATACTCATTAGCGGCAGCCCTGTCTAAAACTACAACAATAAGATGTTGGCCAAAGTGGCCATAAAGCCACATGTCCCCACTGATTTATGAGCAGCTTTAGAGCAATATTGACAGTTAAAGACAATGTCAAAATTAAATAATTACACTGGGATACTGAACAGTAATGCTGTCTGAAAACTAAGGACTGTGATAAGAAGAATTTACATATAAATAGGAATATTAATGGACTAACAACAGATGTAAGCATCTTAACCTAACTAAGGACTTACTCTGATTAACTGATTCAAGGAGTCTAGAATATTGTTCAACGTGTTTGTTACTGTCTGTCCTCAGTCTGCGTTAGAATGCATGAGCATCTCCCCACATCCCCCTGCCCTTCACACTGCCAAAATAAGCATGCACACACCACTTAGAAGACCCACAGGAGACACAGGGCATTCTGCAGCTCTAGCACTTAATTAAGCATCATTCATTAGTGCATATGTGTTATGTGTTCAGTTGTGTATGTCTTTAAAAATAACAAATCCAAGTGTGTTTGTAGCTGTTTATTTTTGAGGCCATGTGTATGTGGCAGACTACATCTATGTGTGGTGTGAGTGTGTATGACCCTGACCATGTTTTTGCAGTCTTTTGTAGAGGGGCTAACGATGGAGCTTATTTACACTAACTATATTAGTATGGGCCTTGATCTGGTTTAGAAAACAGATTTAATGAAGAGAAACTAGGACAGAAAAACACACACAAACATAAATAAACATGAATGTAGATGAACATGCACATGCAAAATCTATACTCACCACTACATAGTGCACAAAAGGGTTATCAAAATCAGAACAGCATCAAATAAGACTAAATCCACACATAGGAGGACTTAAGTACAAGAGTTACAATCACACGCACACACACACACACTCACCTGCCACTGAAGGTGTGTTTGCCTTGACCTCGGTCCACCCCTGCAGGTTTCTCCACAGCAGGACTGGCTGCCTGCAGAGAGCACATACTGAGTGCCTTTCCTGTTAGTCAGTTATTGGCATTTGGAGAAAAGACAAAACAACAGAACAACAAGTTCCAAATACACCTTCAATCTGTGGAAGACCTAATGGAAGGACAAACAGATACCGAGGAACGTGTGCATGGATTTACAAGCAAAAATAATCTGCGAATGAGTGACAGAGTGGAGGAATTAAGGGACTCGTCCTGTTTTGATTTTGGCTTTTACACATGAAATCCCGTGTTCAACAAGTAAGTCTTTGAAATTTGTAAGAAAGAAATACATAACTGGAATAAATGAATAACTGAGTGAAGTGATGAGTGAAGGAGCTGAAGGATGATGTACAAACTGCAATTAATATTTGAATGCAAGAATCCAGTGTTTTCAAGCAGAAATAAAATGACGCTGTCAATGGGCATGGCAACTGAGATAGAGAGGCGTAAGAAACTAAAGTGTAAATGTGAGCCGTAGTAATAACAGAGCTGTAATAATAACTTTATACATAGGGTTTGCATGAAAAGACGACAGCTCCAATTAAGTTTAAAAGACATGACATAGCGCGTTAATACAGCATCATCAAGTTTGATTTCTTCCATGTCCAAGATATCCCTTCAACGCTTTTTGAAAAAAAATTGCCTCAAATGTATCCCGGGGATATCATATTCACAAGAACAGAACAGAATGTGAGGTCTCTGTGACCTTTGTCCACCAAAATCTAATCAGTTCTTCCTTTAGTGGAAGTAGATGTTTGTGCCAAATTTGAAAAAAATCTCTTCAAGACATTTTGAGATATCGCATTCACAAGAACAGGCTGGATGTATGGATGGACTTCTCAAACGCTCCCGGTAGGCTGTGCAAAGGATGGAACAAAACCACGTTGGAGACACGTAACACACTGTGAAAAGCTGGGATAAAGCTATGTTTCATGGATGGAGTTTTAGTCATTTGCATGATTACAAATTTCACACGATTCTAAATGATATTTCTTGACTTTTGGAAAAAAAAAAAATTTTGTAATTTTTGGAAATTGTGTGAGGCATAAAAACTGAATCACCACGTCCTCCACAGTTCAAACAAAAACTTGAGTTTAGATGTTTGTGATATTGTATTCACACCCATATATACTGCATGTACTAGGAGTGCACAATTAATTATGTATACACAAGTATTCACTATAATCACATAAGTTGCAACAGGTTTAAATTGAGACATCCAATATACAAAGATTATAGGAATGTCAGTGAAAGCTGACTCCTGTTCCTTGATTGTTGTCTTGATTACTGTATCAAAATACCTCACAAAATCATGAGAATTACACTTCTTTTCTAATCTGAACATCTTCATGCTCCACATTCACATATGAATGTGGATGTCTGAGCTTAGCCGTGCACATGTTTGTGGAAGAATATGTAGACTAAAACAAGCAGGTCAATAAGGCTCAATGTTAGTAGCAGACACTAATGGACTCTTAGCCTGGCCTTTAACCTTTGATCTGTCACCCTAATGCCATATGACCTACGCCACCTGTCAGAGGGTCAAAGGGGGGGGAAAGCGAAGAAAACAGAAACTGAGCAAGACAGATGAGTAATGAAGAGATGTCAGAGAGAAGAAGAGGTTCAGGCTGAGTCAAAAGAACACACTGAACATATGAGAAAAGATTATATAAAAAATAATATATGAATACATTACAAACAATAGCTGAAGGTGAGATGGGACTCAACACTGAATGATAGACTGCTGATATAATAAACATATGTTCAGGGTTTGGTAGCCTGGAAATCAATTAGTCTGGCCTAGCTACAAATGAAGTCACGCGGGCTTAATTACTAACAGGATGACAGGTAACATTAATTATCCTAACCTCTTTGTCATAACAACAGCCACTCATACATTATTTGGAAATTCTTTGGTGCTTCATTGTGTGTCTCACTTAAGAAACTGCATGTAGAAATAGTGTCTGTCTTCGAAAGAGCAACATATTAATTACAAATTATTTATCAAAAGGGCAATTTAGAAAAAGTAAATGAGTCTGAACAAATAAATGTGCCTCATCATTCATATTAACCTTAGAAACATTATGGCTAGCATAGCGAAATTTAAATTTGTTAAACATTAAAGTTGCTTGCTCTCTAATGTGCATTGCTCAAAAAAGGTTTATAGACAGATTTTCCCTTTTTTCCTTGTCTAGGCATTAAAGCATAAGGTCTGACATTTTCTATATTAACAGTATTTTTAACAATAACCATGCAGAGACTAAAATCAACAATGAATTTCCTCTACTCAAGATTAATTTCTGTTAGTCCTGGTTTAGCTTTTCTGAAAGTGCCACAGACCTCCACTGTTGTTCATTCATCCATCTGTCCATCCATTATCAATACCGCTTATTCCTGAATAGGGTCGCGGGCAGTCTGGAGCCAATCCCAGCTGACATTGGGCGAGAGGCGGGGTCCACCCTGGACAGGTCGCAAGTCTATCACAGGGCTGACACTTAGAGACAGACAACCACACACACACTCACAATTACTCCATGGGACAATTTAGAGTCACCAATCAACCTAAGCTGAGGAAGCCGGAGTACCCACAGAGAACACACGTAGGCACAGGAAACTCCACAAAGAACAGCCCCATGTCGGCCCAGGCTCAAACCCAGAAGCCTCTTGCCATGAGGCGACAGCGCTAACCACCGCACTGCTGTGCCACCCCCATTGTTGTTCAAAAACAATTAAAAACACATCGCTGCACTGGGTGAAGTGTTGGCTCATTACAAAACACACCCTAATATTTGTTAAGAATATCCAGAGATCTTGTCCATGGGCAGTGGAGTCGTGCTTCCTCCAAATGCTGTAAAATGTTACAGCTGTTCAGAACTTTGGGGGCAAAATTTTTCAAAAATATCAGGGTCTTGTGTTTTGTAAAGGGAGGAATCACTCAGTGCAGCAGAATGTTTGGCCATTGTGTTTTTATTTATTTTTGAACAACAGTGGAAGTCTATGGTACAAATGAATAAGCTAATTCAGGACTGACAGATTAACACACACACACACGTATAATATATTCCCTTTTCACCCCTACGGTGTTGTGGGTGTCTTCCTCAACCTCGAGGCCTGGGAGTTTGAGGCTTCTGTGCAGTGTCTTAGCTGTACTCAGAACTGCACTCTTCTGGACAGAGAGCTCTAAGGTTGTTCCTGGGTTCTGTTGGAGCCACTCTTCCAGTTTAGGAGTCACAGCTCAGAATGCTCCCACCACCACTGAAACCACTTTGGCCTTCACCTTCCACATCCTCTCCATCAGAAGTCTACCAAACCAGACAGGACATCAGGAGCAGAGTGTGCAAAGATGCCTCAGAGACAATCCAACACATAGAGGCAGGATGTAAAATGCAGGTAGAAAAAACCAAGTGGCTGGCATTGTATACAGAAGGTCGTGGAGAATAACAAGGCTAAGATCCTGTGGGACTTCCAGATCCAGACAGACAGGAAGGTACTGGCCAAACAACCAGACATCATGGTAGTAGACAAGGAACAGAAAGAGGTAGTGGTGATAGTCACAGCAGTTCTAAGTGACAGCTTCAACAAGAATAAGGACAAAGAGAAGCTGGAGGAGTAACAGGGCCTGAAAGAGGAACTGGAGAGGATGTAGAAGTTGAAGGCCAAAGTTATCCCAGTGGTGGAAGGAGCACTCAGAGCTGTTACTCCTAAACTAAAAGAGTGGCTCCAACAGATTCCAGGAACGACATTTACTGCGCAGAACCCTCAAAACTCCCAGATCCCTGTACAGGATCCAAGGTTGAGGAAGACACACATACATAGCATAAGTGGCCCTCCAAACTTGGAGAACAGAGGAAGAATTTCCATTTTAACTCAGTGCTGGATAATCCTACCTTGAATAACAATGCCTGTAATAAATGGGCTGCAAGTATTTAGTCCTCTCAGTCCAATCTAATAAAAGTTACAAGCACATTTAAAAAAAAAAGTGAACTATTAGTGATATTACCAATTAATGAAAAACCAATCAGGCTAAGTGTTCCCTGAAAATATTCCCATAGTGAGTATGATAAATTAACAGAAATGCATGCTGCACAATTTGTGCTTGTGTGTGTGTGTGTGTGTGTGTGTGTGTGTGTGTGTGTGTGTGTGTGTGTGTGCGTCCACCTGGCATTACTCACACTGTGGGGCCTGAAAAATATCTGCCTCATTTCAGGCTAGGGGTAATGTTAAGGGTTAGGGTTAGGAAAGTAATGATTATGAATAAGGTTATGCTAAGTCTCCAGGAAAAGAATGTAAGTCAATGTATATTCCCCACCAAAAATTAAAACCAATGTGTGTCTGCGTGCATGCATTCAGCTGTATTGTTAAGCAAAGGTAATCTATCTTGGAATATCTCTTTGTGGATGTGGATGATGAATTGACATGAATATATCTTGATAAATACCACATCAAGGGGCCAGATGGCTGAACAAGGAAATAAACATAAAATATTCAAACTACAACATATTTTTTGCATTAAATAAATTCTGTTAGGCTGTGTAGAATAACAATGGCTTCTTTACAGGATTTATTCCTCCCTACACTATATGAGTTTAAGGATGAATGACACAATTAAGGTTTTCTTTTTTGAGTTACAGTGAATAAATGTCTCCAGTAGGAAATAACACCATAATATAACCACAATTTTAACCTCCATATCTCTAGCGCGACCAGGCGAAAACAGTGAGTTTGTTTATGGTACTGCATTGTTTAGTACGTCAGATTCATTAGGCATACATAATGAATACAAGCTAAGTTCTCTCACTCTCTTTCCTTCTCTTATGTTTACAACACACACACACACACACACACCGACACTGGGGAAAGCACAAAGAGGAACAGGAAAGGTGCAAACACCAAAGAGTAGACACATTCAAATCCTGTATATATGGTAAGCACATATCCAAGCATTCAAAATGGTCACTAGACAAACATGCATGCAGGGTCACACGAAAAAAAGCCATGAAACACATACAGACAAACATAGATATGTGCACACAGCCAAGTGTAGTATGATAATTAAGTGCTGTGCTGCTTTATTAGCCCCAGTGGTATTCTAGGAAAGAACAAATACTCCCAGGTTAATTTATACATTGCAACTAACCTGCAATGGGTGTGTATGTGTTGTAAGCATGAGAGAAGGTAAGAAGAGAAATAAAGAGAGTGATTTTGTGGCTCACTGTACTCGTCTCTGCTTGGCATTTAGTACAGAAGAGCTGCACCAGTAAATCTTTCTGGATTGAAATTAAATAAAGAGAGGGGACAGAGAGTAGGAGAAAAGGCCGAGAGAGAGGAAAAAGACAGAGAATTACTGCAAGGAGAGTACTTTCATCCCCTCATCGCTCTCCCAAAAGGCCAAGTGACAATTTGAACAATTACCTGGAGCCATTACCTCTATCTGAACCTGGCTCGTTGAGAAGAGACAGACCTATGTGTGTACATGTGTGAGTGAGTATGTGAGGGATAGAGTAGAAAGAGAGACAGTGAAGGAGGCAAAGAAAAAGAAAATGATACATGAGAGAGATGAGAAAGAAACACAAAAATAGAATTCATTTATTTGCAGTAGTAACACAGTCGTGTACCAATCTAACAGCAGTTAGATTGGATGCAGTTATTGCAGCATGGCAGAAAAGCAGAGAGAAGGGAAGACGTATGGAACTGAAGATCATCAAGCAGACAGAAATATGGGAAAGAAAAAGAGGGGCGTTTTATTTAACATGTGTTGTAATGACTGGACCACACCATGCAATTAATTTGTAAGTCTCCACTGTGAAGACTCAACTTCTCCCCAGAATAAAACACATCTGATCATGTACCAACTGGTATACTAATGGATACATAAGATAATCACTTAATGGCATCAAGATAACAGAGGAATTCTACATAATATAAACCACCATGAACAAAATAAAACAACTGACCAGAGTTCCTATAGAAAATCTGATGAGAGAAATAATTTAGCTTTTTACACCTTTTAATCCATGTTTATAGACAGAATTACATAAAACTATAGTCAGTAGTAAACACACCAAAGTACACAGTAGGTCTGTACTAAAACAGATGATGCTCCTTTTGCATTGCCAAAAAAAAAAAAAAAAAATCAGATGCCAATGCATATGTCATTAGACATTTATGTTTTTATAACTACACAGATTTCTTATTGACTATCTTTTTTTGATGGAAAGCCTATATTTGTGAAATTGGTTCAAGTTAAAAATGTAGTTACTCAGTAGAAGTGTGTGCAGGAAAGATCTGACTGCTATCAGTCTGTACAACTGATAAAAGGTGTTCACTAACAAATACAAACAAGGTAAAATTACTGTTTTGCCTGATTCTCCCCTTTCAACTTTTTCTTTACAAGGCATAAACATCGGAATAGGCCAGTCAGAGACTGCAAAATATCCAAAAGCCTTTAGATCACCCATGTTCCCTCAGTGGTTTGCTCTGTAATTGCACAATGAAGAAAATTCACGTGTCAAAGTTACCAAAAAACTGTAAATGCATTTGTTTGACACACACTTGCCCTATTCTAATGCAAAGCTACTGTTTAATGCTGTGACATTCATTGTTGATAGCCATTTTACAGCACTGTGTAGATTGTTAACCAGAACAAAATTATGTTCTGATTCAAGGCAAAACTAAGGCAATTATATTAAAAAAATATATATGAAAATATAAGTTAAAAAAAAAAACAATTGTTGTGATCAAAGCTACAATGTGAACTGAGTGAGTAGGAAAACATGAGGAACTACAGTAGCAAAAGCTACAACTGGTGTAATTGAGATCACATATATGCATGAAATCATGCACATGCTGCAACAAAAAACACCCAGACATACACAATGTGGACAGTCCTACTGTGTAACTGACACCCAGTAATAGTTCATACTGACAGCCACAGAAGTGATAGTGTAATAGTGAACTCAGAACACAATCTAAATTACTAGTGTTGGCAGTTTCTTTTTATTAGTGACAAACACCCAGGGTTTATATCTGTTAAACGGTTTCATTTAAAAATAGACTATGGCTTTATTTCCGATTTATCATCAAAGGAACGGGCCTGCATAGAGTCATTATGACTGGGTAAAATGATAAGTTAACAAGAAAATAAATACATAACTTCATTGCTTAATTCTGCAAGAGATACAGTATACACGTTGTATAGTCACAAACAAGCTAGGTTACCCTAAGCAACACAAAGAAGGGAGACTAGCCACCTCTGAGAACCAACCATTTTCCCCATAAGAGCTGGAACTTGCAAACACAATGTTCTACAGGGAATACAACAAGGGTTAAAACGGATGGTTGTCCAGTGAGGATTCTCAAGAGAAGAGGGCTCTCCACTCAAGAGTCCAATCAGGCGTGGACTTCCCTTAACAGTGAACTTGAGGGATTTGTAGTGTCCAACTCTCCACAGGGAATATGAAACTGTAACACTATCATAACAAGCAATCACATCTACGCCTCCAGGAAACTCACACACTGTACTATAATATGTATTAGCATGTTTCCATGTGCATGCCTCTATAGTGAAACTTAAAAATAACTGTATTTCTGTAAAATATTCTATAAAAAGCATCACCTCAGAGAAGCTGACAAACACTTAATAATTGATGGGGAAGATATTGTAAAGTAGTGGAAGAGGAAAACAGAGGAGGGAACAGGAGAATATTTAGAGTTTTATGCTCACAAGACAGACAGACTAGCGGTGAATGATAAATATATGATATACTTATCTCCTACTTCTTATCAAATCTGAAAGAGAAACCTCAGAATTAGCAGAGGTATCACAAAAATATGACAAAAGAAAGGTACAGTTTGCAGTTCAGTGGTAGCTAATTTTGTTTTCTTTATATTGGGCATGGACCCAAATTAATAATTTTGACACCAGTTGTACCAAGTTGGTGGAAATGTGATTGAAAAGTGAGATCAGCACTGGTAAGGAAAGATGAGGACAAGTCAGGGAGGAAGATGAGGGTGAGGTAAAAGGGAAAGGAACAAAGGTTTGCCCTCTGCCTTTCTGAGAAAGGAACAGAAAGTTTGAAGAGACGGAAAAAACCGCATCATCCATCTTTGTTAATGGAGTCTCACATGACAAAGTGTGTATGAACTAGAAATAGCATGAAGACATGAGCAAGACTCACTGCCAAACCTTTAACATGTACGCAGCACACACACAGTCAATATACCACCACAAAAAACATAAAAATAAAATCCTTACCAGATTTATTTGCATACCGTATATGCTGATACATGTTTCTATTTTAAATTGTTTGGTTGTGATGAATGTGTAAGTTTATATTTTTAGGTGCTGTACGCATTATACTGTAGAGTAGTACAGTGTTCAACACAAATGAAAAATATGTTAATTGGATATCTATGCAATTATTTTGCATTCTGGTAAATACGACTTCCTCCCAATTGATATGCAGGGTATCCATATACAACAAGGCCAGACACAAAGCAGAACCTCATATATTTTTTAAACCATTTTAGCATACAGCTCTTCAAAGGCTGGACTTTCAAACAGTGCTTCAAACTGAAAAAACATGGAACTTTATTAATCATAGGGGAAAAATCTGGCCGTAAAAAGGTGTACATCAGCTGGCTGTAAAGCAGTAAGAATACAAGGTTATATAAATAATTTCTATTCTGAGGTTTACCAGCAGTTGTGCAAAAAGCATTAAGTCTGTCCCTTGAATGCTGCTAGAAGTAAATCCATGGGGTCATTAAAAAACTTCATCCCCCTTGGGAGTCTTAATGTGCTTAGCATATTTAATGGAAATGTGCCTATTAAATTACAACAGCATTAGAAATGTGAGGAAAGCATAGGGTCTATGGGGATTCATTATACTAAATCAATACCTTACAAAAGCTGACGAACATATGCAAACTCATTAAAGTGCTGACAAGACTATGAAAGACATTTCAGGATCCAAATAAGTTTGACTTTTACAATCCTTGAAAAAGGGTTAACTGATTAATGTTAGTACAAGTGGCATTTGTTGGGTCTAACTAAAGTAAGCCAATGTACCTTTTTAAACAAATATATTTAGGTTCTATTATTAAAGTTATTAAAGTAAATGTCGTTAAAGTTATTTGCGTCTCTGTTAGGTTCTCACAAAAGCATCCTCAGTTACACAGGGGCAGGGTTCCTATGTGTTGCAGTTCCTGTGTGCTTTCAAACTGTATGTTTTTTTAATCCAACAGACCTAGGGTCTTACCTTCACAGTGATATCTTCACTGGGGGAGGGTTCAGTCTCTGCCAGCTGGGGGGAAAGGGCTGAGTCACTGCTGCTTCTCACCAGCAGGGGGGTGTCTATAGAAAACACACACATATAACATGAAAATGAAATGTGAAGAAAGCTCTGAGCCTGTTTTCCAGATACATAAATGTAAACTGCAAGGTGTGCTTTCCATATATTAGACCTCATGACCTTATCATCCTGTGCAAAAAAAAAAAGCTTTTCTGTCTGCTTTCAAAAATAATAACTCAATTCTCAAAGAAATACAGTGTCTCAGATCTGCAGGGGCAAGTCAGCTGCCCAGAGTTCAAACTGAACATGCTACAATGGCTTTTAGCCAATTATGCAGCTCACTGCTGGAACCAGCACCCCCATGGAACTTGGATGTGCCCCAACTGTAGCCATGTTGCAGAAGATGCAGAAAAATAATGTGTGTTACTTACAGCATTATTAAAAACCCACAGATCTAAAACATAATTATTTTTTTCTCCTTTTTCCTGTTTTAATCTACATTAAACCTGCTTTGTTTTTTCCAGACTGTGCTTTTTTTTACTTTAGCTTCCTCTGATAACCTGTCTCCCTGTCAGTTCACTATAACAAGGTGAGCACCTTCATTCAGACTGAACAGAACAACAGAAAGGACAGAGAGGGTAAAAAACCAAATAGTGCAAATAGTGAGAATGGAGAACATCTGCATCTTCACTAACTCTACAACAAATCCCTCTGACAGATGCACAATATTATGTACATGCACGCACACCCACACACACCCATGTGACTGTCTTAAAAATCACTAATGCTATTTTGAAGGAGTCACAGTTCAGCAAAATTTGTTTCTAATAATAATGTTTTAGCTGACAAGATAGAGATCCTAAGCTAGTTGTGCCACACTGCAGAGAGATGTTTTGGTGTGTTTCTTTATGAGTGTGAGAAACAAAGAGTGAGGAGAGATGAACATTTTATGTTGTAGGATGACTAAATTAATTTCTGCTCTGTCATTACAACGTAATATCAAAACTACACAAGTCAAAGTGTGCTTTTAAAAAATAAATAAATACATCTATCACAGCAGAGTGCACTTTGTGGAACAGTTGCTATAACTGCAAGGGTAACTCCATGGAGACCCGTCTGCCATTTTCAGCTTGTTAAAAATAAAGAAATAAAGAGTGATACAGTTTTATGACTGGTGGTCGATGGATATACAGTAGAGAATAAAAGTCAAAAAAAGAAAGTAGCAACGACAAAGAAGGCATCAAACTAAAATATACGCCATGTCAATGAAACATGGTTGGTAGTGTCTCATTGGGTCTGTAAAGAGCAGATCTGGAAGCATTATCCTTTCCCTAAATATCCCCTCAGTGAACGCTCTGGTGTTCCTGCATCCAAATATGTTGCCTACATGAAGGTAACACATGATAGTATCTTATCAGCCCACAGCATAAAATCACCATTTCTTCAACTTAAGCTGACGGGTGAAATACACTACATTATATTGTGTGCTGCTGCTGGAGCTGGGAGAAAGTCAAATGAACACTGCAGAAAGCTACTCAAAAAACATCTCTAACTTGAGATATTATTATGATCTGTGTGGTACATTCCCAGTCCTCATGTCTACTATCCCCATTAATAAGGTCCATCAATCCACAAATACACAAAGAACACTGTCATGTTAACTATAGTTCAACTGGGAATAAAATGAGAAAGGTAGTGGTGAGGGCGGGGGAAACTCTATATGAATGGACTACTCAGAGCACATGCCAAATGATATTTGTAAGGTCATGTATTGATTGTTATAAAATGGACCCTTGGTGCTCTTAAGACTAGCTGGGGGTATGGATTACATCAAACAACTAATCAATTCACCTCTTCAAAGAAAAGCAATGGAAGAAGGATACAGGGATGAGAGACAAAAGAGATAAAAACAAGAGACAATAAATAAATAAAGGGACTAATAGAGGAGAAGAGAATAAGTTAGACAGTGAAGAAAAAACACCAATATGCAATAATTTAAAAAGGACTACATTATATTCAGGGGTGTCTCCATATTTTTGTCTTGCCCAGCTACATACACGAGAGGGCCAAAATATAGGAACACTTCTGAATATAATGTAGTCCAGTACAACACCACCTTTATACATTTATGATAATTTCACCAAAATCTGAAACCTTTTGAGCTTCATTAACACAGATGTTAAAGCAAAAGTGTTGCATTGAAGTGCGTGTTCTCCCTGTGCCTGCGTGGGTCCACTCTGGGTACTATGGCTTCCTCCCACAGTCCAAAGACATGCAGCTTAGGCTGACTGGCGACTCTAAATTGCCCGTAGGAGTGAATGTGAGTGTGTGTGGTTGTCTGTCTCTAAATGTCAGCCCTGTGATAGACTGGCGACCTGTCCAGGGTGGACCCTGCCTCTCGCCCAGCATGTGTATATATATATATATAAAAAGCACAGACAAATTGGAGTCAGAGGCAAAACCTTAGACAATGACAGAGACCTAACTGTGAGCTTCTCACACTGACAATTGTAGTCTCCAAAGCTCTAATGCTAATCTCCCATGGCAAAAACACATTACCACTAATCTCTGCTGACAGGCGACCATACTGAAACAAACTAAACTTCCTGACTTCACAGTGTCTGGATCATACAACTAAGGCCCCTTCACGATGAAGGAAGGTCATACGAACTAAAATGGCAATTCTTTTTTACTGTTAGAAGTGAAACTAATTGTTTAAATGCACAGTAATATGAGAAATGAGATGTAATAATTGACTGTACAAAATTGTACTTATGATTTTTGATTCAGCTTGGCAAACTCAATAAATTGCTTGACATCCAAATAATGAAACGTGCTTATAAAATAATCTTAGAATAAGTGTTTGACCATTATCGCATTTCACTTGTAATGACATTCAGAAAACAAGAGTGGTACAAAGTGTGCAACAAAGCCAAAGATTACAATTCTAGCTTTAGAGGATAGAGACTATGATTCATAACTAAAGGAAGTAGAATCTAAGAATTACCTGCCAGTGTCAGGTAGCTTGAGGTAATGCATAGGTTTTGGCAAACTGTAGGTACACACAATCCATCATCTACTTGGTCTGTTTTTTAAGGAAAAATTATATTTGGACAAGTTACTACGACTGCTATAAACCTTTTCACGTGCACAGTACCGGTAACTCTGTTTAGCAGGCACTTGAAATAAGTCAGAAAAAGATGAAGTGGGGGGAAGGACCAAATAAGGCCATGCAGATAGGTCTGGTCCAGGTAACAGTAACCAGGCACGGACATCAGTGTGTGCTCCGCAGCCTGACAGAACACATGCACTTCCTGCCTTCTCCTGCTCCTCATTTCTTTCTTTTTTATCCCCATCTCATTGCACAACTCAGAGACAGTGCTGACTACATTTCAGCTGCCTTCATGTTCTCTTTTTCACAGAATAACTCAAAAAGGTATTAATAGATTTTAATGGCATTTTTGGGAGATTACATTTAGGTGGTGATCTAGATCAGCATTTTGATCCATGAATATTTTAATGGCATTTTGAGGAAACTGAGCTGCCTTGACAGAGCTTCGTGCTCTCTCTCTGCTGCTGTCTAGTTTCCATGTGTCCCACAGAAAATTGACACTACAACCTGACCTTTGTTGGCACTATAATTCAGTAAGTATGCCTATCATCATCCCTAGAGTATTGTCTACAAAACACAATCGAACATGATGTACCTAATAAGCCATCATGAAAATGTCAAAGATATATATTTTTATTTAGGTTTAAAGATTATTAATTTTAGCCATCTGTCTATCCCTTAAACGTTAATAGGAGATTTGACTGCTTCACTGACGTAGCCTGGCAGTCACTCTCCACATCCAAACTGAGCCTCATTTGACCTTTTTCTTGTTATGACATCAACCCATTTCCTGCTTGCACTGGCCTATAGATTACCAGTAAAAGGTAAAGGGGTTTGTCTTTGTTAAATCAGAAGAGTCCATGTGACAGTAGACCTTGGCATCAGAAAGTTCCAGCTCAAATCAACAATGAGGGAAACACTGGAAATACTGGAAGTACCTGGTCTCTGAGAGCCTGCAGGGTCAGACACAGAGCAGTTGTGGTTGCCACATGGACTGCCTTGACTTCATAGGCACAATACGTTGTCTAATTTGGACAAAATTTTGTGATGCAATGACATATGTCAGAGTCTAACTGAAATCAAGGTCTTTATTCTAGAGAGGTGAGAGCTACTTCATTAGACAAGAGTACAATACTGTGCCTTGGATGAAAACATTTATGATTATTTATATTTATGCCTAAGAATCCTCTTGGTTGGATAATTTTTTAAATTTTGCAAAGAACATTTGATAGTATCTACAAATCTTTTGAGAATTAACATAATTATGTTTTAAAATAGAAAGAATACTGTATATGAAGAAAAACAATGAAGAAGAGTGCAAATCTTGCAAATCACCTAATTTTATAATGTAGTTGTGAACTTTCAAACCTCAGAAAACAAAATGCTCAACACCATTACTCACTGGATTTGAGGGCTGAGGAATTGACTTCAATCTCTCCTCCTGCGATTGGCTGGAAGACTGAGAGCTCGGATTGGTAGAGGTCAGGGCTGGAGGCAAGGGATGTATTAGCCACACTCCTCTGCTGGGCTTCCTGCTCCTCATACACAGCCATCAGCTAAAAAAAAACAACGCAATGTGACTGATTATTCTCTATTTTCTTCTATTCTTTTCATCCATTATCAACACAGTATTTGACAAGAAAGGAGCAGCAGATTCCTGATCAAAGATTCTTACATCAGTCAACTCAGACACTCCAGGTTTTCTATTTGCTGCTCCCTATTCACTGTACGCTCACACTGAGAGAAAGGTACTCTGGCTCATTTTACATCCAGTATGCAAACTGCTGCCATTTACTTGAATTGTACAACAAAAAGCAAAATCTACAAGTGGTATGAATTATGGGTATAACGATTCATTGATCAAAATACCCCGCAATCTGATGACATTGATGTAAAATGTAAACATCAATGTTTTGTGTGCGTTTATTTTGACAGGCAGTCACATATGCAAGTATCTCTGGTAAAGCACTGTTCTTTTCAAACTGCACAACAAGCGGCAGGCAGAATACTACTACTGTAGTATTCCAGGACTAGGAATTCACACAAAGTGAGACATGAGCAGCACATGAGCTACCGAAGCGTTTAATCTGTTCAGTCCACACCAACTCCGACCTCCGTGCAGCGTCAGTCGTCAAAACAGCTGTCGGTCTGTCAGCAGGACAGTGACTGGACAAACACTCTGTGGGGATTATGCTTTGTAAAACACACCAGAGAGAAGAACTACACTTTAAGCTTAAAAAACAGCTTGAATGTAACGTGGCCGGAATCAAATCAAGTTGAAATCACATCATGGCATATTTTTAAGTTTCAGCAACCTGGATCGCTAGAAAAGAGAATTGATATAGGACTGTATCATGATGAAAGTGGTGATTTACACCCCTAGCATGAATGCATATAAAATCAAGGAGAAAATGCTAACAGAAAACTCCTGAGTCAGTCCCTGCAAAGAAACACAACCAGATCTACATGTCTTCCAACTTAACAGTAAACAAACATATTTATCACCAGGTTTAAGACTGCAGCTGATGAATGGTCGTAAACACTCCTCTGGTCACATTTCTACAAATAAAGCTAAATTCAAGGCTGCAACACTTTTAAAAACTGTGTGATTGTGTGTATGTACATGTACACAACTTGTGTGTTACCTTGTGGATGAGGACGCTATAGAGAACCCCCAAGGAGCCCAGCATTCCTGTGACAGTGTGTCTATTGATTAACAACCGACTCCATTCGTGTCTCTCCTTTGAATGTGCGCGACACCCTGCTAACTTGTGTTGTATAGCCGAATCCCTGTGTATCGAGTACTGCACTGAGTATGCATTTAGCCAAACACAGCACACAGATGGTCAAAACAGTGTTTTAGGCAGCTCCACGCAAAAGCTGAATAGGCTTGGAGGCTGAATAGGTGTGTGCATACATGTGTGTATGCGTATGGGATATGTCTATAGTGGCCACAAAGTAAAGAAAGGGGACTTTGCCAGTAAAGCTACAGGCTTCCTGATACACTGAAAACCCACACACAGAGGAGAGCATACATGCGCATGCTATGAACAGGCATATGAAAGTATTCACATTAGTACACACACAGTTCTAAGTCACTGCACTGTGATTTGTTGCCTGTCTCATCTGCACATGAAGGCAAAAACAATTAAAGCAGCATTATGAAAATGCAATGCAAAAACACAAACTCAGCTCAGCTATACAGCTCGGCCGATGCCTCTCAGTCTCACACGTTCTTGTTCTGTCACACTCCCACTTCCATCTGTGCACGCATGCACTCCTTTCCATTAATCTGATGGGATATGAACATGTCAGCTTCACATCTGAATGAGCACCTTGGTCACTTCTGCTTAAAAGTCACAATGACTTAGATTGGACCTAGTAGCGTGTATGTATCACTTTGAAAACGGCATGAGTCTGAACTGCATACAGTGGCATTAGGCGCACACACAAGGTTATGACAATCTCATGCACAGGGCAAATACTGCATTTGCAGCATGGCTTTGAGTCATGGCTGAATGAAGCCATGAGGAACATCAACGTAGAAGTGACCTATGTCACTTTAACAGAGTGATGAAGCGGCGCCGTCATGTATCCCATGTCTGAAAAGGGCTTATCACACATCTATCTCACTCTCATGCTCCATCTTTCCTCTTATAAGAGACTTCCACTGACTTTTTTCTTTTTCCCTCGCTCGTTGTTTACCATCAGTCTTTCTTGCACCAGTTTTTACTTATTTCTCTTCCATCATCCCCTACCGCCTCTCGATAACATCATCTGCACACCTCTCAGGTTCACGCTTAAACCATAAAGCCTTAGTTTACTTATGTATGTAACCACAGTGCTTTTCATTTGATGATGAATAGTTAGTATTTGTCACATTCCTGTCAAGCTGCTTAGGTATAAGACAACTAGGCTACTGTCCAGCAGCTACCTGCAGGAATGGCAATAAAACAGGTAAACATACAAGGAAAAAAAGGTGGATACAGAGTAGGAAACTGATGATGCAAAAAAACACACACTTGCATTAACTGCTCCCATTTTTATCCAGTTTCAGTAAATCTGTTCAGTAGAGAGGGTCAGAACAAGACTAATAGCTTCCAGATAAACACACACACAACAAAATATGGAAGAAGTTCTTAAAAAAGAATATCTGAAAGAATGACAGGGAGAAAAATGGGCAGACATATTCAACATAGCCTTGCAGAGTCTCTTAAAAAGCAGAGGTGGGAAGAAAGGAGAGAGACAGATGAGGGAGGGAACGGCTTTGTCTCTGTTCTCTCCGACAGGGGACTCAAAGACCTGCCAAACAAAATGACACTGCAGCCTGAGCGTGTCAAAGGGAGAGAGGGGATGTGGAGAGACAGAAAGGTGAGACTGCACAGAGTGAAAGAACAGAGAGAAAGAGAGAAGTGCCCGTGGAGAATGTGAAAGACAGAAGCTAACAGAGAATTATAATGATAATAATGAGGAGGACTGACAGATGTGCTGTACTGTAAAAACCTTTGGGATGTCAGAGAATAAGAGCAAAAGGCAAACCTGAAACTTGAGGTTGTCTGAGAGTACTACAATGATGTGTCCATTTTCGACAAACTGAAAAGTTACATGATGCCAACTCCAGCTCTATTCGTCTTACCTGTTTTTCTGGCCTCAAGACAGCGTGTATTGTAAGCTTAAAGATGTATTTCAGCCTTTGAATAATAAGGTAATCATTACTTTTCCACTTATTGTGCACCACTACCAGTTTGTGCTATTACATGTAACCTTCTCATCAGCTATCCTGTCAACAACCTTGAGAGAATCAAAGGTAAGATGGTAGCAAATTTTTCCATTTCAGTTTACTGTCAAAACGCACATTTTACTTTGATCGTGTTGCTGACAGCCTCAGCAGAAATGCCTTTATCTCTCTATGAGATTGAATACTTGCGCTCAAATTTGCACCTGAGCAAAAAATAAGGCTTCATTTTGACATCATTTGTCTAAAACAAAGACTGGCAATGGCATACTGTGAAACTGTGGTGTATTGTGTCATTTGGTTGTCGTACTTCATTTAAGTTTATTAAAAGATGCACTTTCTTCTGCTCTTGGGGATTTTAAAGGTCAGGTTCAGCCACAAATGGTAATGTGGTAACCAGGAGAGTAGTGTGTCTGACTTAAAGACACTTAAGCACTGATGGCAGCCTTGGGGTTGACCACAGCTTGTAAAATGTGCACACTAACAGCAGCATTCCACTTAGCACAAAATACATTTATCATAGGTTTCTTTACTTTACATATATTATTTTACATGTCTTTTACATCAAAATTTGATGAAAATTTCTGATTGAGCTCAGATTTAGTTAAAGGCTGACATACCATAGAGACTCCGAGGTTAAACATTCAACAGCCAATCCTTCTCCCAGAGGTTACGTCTAACCTCTCTTCCAATCCCCTTTCCACTCCCTATATTTACTGACACCATATGGCCAATACAAGACTTAGACAGGTTACCCCGGACACGTGGCGGCTAGTGGATGGTAACTTTGTTTGTGTGTGTGCGTGTTTGTGTGTGTGGACTTCAATTTAATGGGCCCGGTACTACTTCAGGGGTCACCATTCTGTTCTCTGCTGATATACAAAATACTATGGAAATTGATATGAGAACTGTTATAAGACATAACGGCCTAATAAGTTCTCCATAAGTAAATACAAATTCCAAGGTTAAAGGAGGTTTTCCATGCATCTTCGGACAATGTGCGGCTAACTCAGGTCCTTATCAGGTCAAGGATAGTAAACCTGGAGGGGGCAAAAGAAATGCAGAACAATGATTGATCTGTGGCTTTTAATAATGCAGTTACATTGTCTTACTGCATGACTGTCTTACTACTGCAGTAAAGGTGTACCTCTTTTGCTAAAGCGCCAATGTGCCACTGATACATACTTTATCAATATATAATTTAAAAGTTTATTTTCACTATAGTGAACCAAATACCTGGAGCTACATGTGCTTTAGGGGGACACAGTGTCTGCTGAGATGATGTTCAGACCAGTTAGATAGGGTGAAGGCACAAGCTGATATTCAGACAAAGGTCATAGAGTCAATACACACAACGCGCATGCTATTTGGGTGCACTTCTCAGCATTTTCCTAAAGTGTCAGAGTGATATAGGAAATGGGGATGAAAAATTGCAGAGCTGGTTCATATCCTTCTATTTAAATTAAAAGACTACCTGAAATTGAGAAAGGTAGATTAATAGCAGTTCATGATTTAAGTGCATAACATGGCAACAGTACACACACACTACATTTCCATTTTTTTTCACATCATGCCCTTTATAATCGGGTCGATTAGGGCCTGATTGATTAGCTTGGAGGGAGTCGATAAAATGCTACATTCAGCCAAATGCATGAGCATCAGCACACACAACAATCTTTAAATACACTTAAGCTATCTGTACTCCACTGAGCTTTGATTTCCACCCATGAGCACTTACCATACAAAAAAAAAAAAATCTATGACATTTAAGTATGTGGCATCTTATGCAGTGAGAACAATCCTTAGCAGTGACCACTACAT